TCCTTCCCTCCCATGCACTCCTGTGCCCTGAGCTGTCTCCCTGTACATACACAGCCCTTCTATTCTCCCATGATCGAGCCCTGTAAGGCGTGTGTCTACTTAATGTAAATATTCAGCCCATGTGCCTGTCTTTTGTTTAGCTGGAAGCCACAGGAGTGGGTTCAATGATGCAAGGACTTTTTATTAGCACTATCAGGTACAATGTGAGCCACCAATATAACTTACAATTGTTAGTCATATTAAAAAAAAAAAAAAGAAAACAGGTGACCCTGATCTTTATGGTATATTTTATTTAGGTTGATATAACCCAAATATTACTTCACTATGTAATCCATATAAAAATTATTAATGAGGTATTTTACATTCTTTTTCTATTAATATTTGAAAACCAGCATGTATTTTAAACTTCTTACACATCTCATTTGGGGCAGTCATGTTTCAAGTTTCAAGAGTCATATGGGTGGCTGTTGTTATATGCTGTCGAGTCGGACCCGACTCATAGCGACCCCTCCTTGGGTTTCTGAGACAATATCACTATGGAAGTAGATTGCCTCATCTTCCTTCTGAGGAGTGGGTGGTGGATTTGAACTGCCAGCCTTCTGGTTAGCAGTCAAGTACCTTAGGCATTATGCTACCAGAGCTCCTATATGGGTGGCTAGTAGCTACCTTTTGGACATTGTAGTTCTATGTCATAATTGGGTTGTTGCCTACACAGAAGCATGTATTTGTCAAAACTCATCAAACTTGGCCATAAGATCTGTGCATTTTGCTGTACATAAGTTATACTTTAATCAAATTGTTGTTGTTGTTATGTGCCGTCGAGTAGGACCTGACTCATAGCAACCCCTCCTTGGGTGTCCGAGGCAGTATCACTATGGAAGTAGATTGCCCCATATTCCTTCCGAGGAGTGGCTGGTGGATTTGAACCACCAGCCTTCTGGTTAGCAGTCAAATGCCACTTGCTTACTATGCTATAGTAGCATAGTAGCATAGCCACTATGCTACTATAGCTCCATTTTAGTTAAGAAAAAATATTTTAGAGAAAAAATAAATCTAGTCTGTGGGAAACTACAGAGCTAACAATTTCTTCAACAAATAAATTATATTAAAAAAAAAAAAAACTTTAAAATAATTCAGTGTGGGGGGAAGGGAGTGGGTAGAGTAACACTGGCCATGAATTACTTATTTTCCAAAATGAAAAGTTTAAAATAATGACATTTTTTTTTGGACAAAAAAAAGTATAGACTGGAATACATGCAAGAAATAAGTAAGAGCTATTTGTCGTTACCTAAACAGGAGGAATGAGAAATAGCCAACATCACATTGCCTAGAATCACGTAGAACTCTTTGTCTATCCCTTTAAAGACAAAAACCAAAAAACCAAACTCACTGCCATCGAGTCGTTTCCAACTCATAGCGACCCCATTGGGTTTCCGAGGCTGTAAATCTTTACGGAAGTAGATCACCCAGTCTTCCTTCCGCAAAGCAGCTGGTGGGTTTGAACCGCTGACCTTCCGGTTAGCAGTCAACTGCTTTATCCACTGCACCACCAGAGCTCCTTCCTTTAAAGATAGTGGGGAAAAAGGTAGCAAAAATGATTCCCGTAGAACTACTACTTGCATGAAAACACTCACTCAACAGGCAATATATTATTTCATTATTCACTTTGTGGAGTAAAGAAAATAAATGCAAACCCAGGGAAATTACATTAGCCAAAAGTAAGTCTCCCATGTTTGTAAATCTGCTCTGTCACTAATACTTACCGTCAAATTGTGAAGCCTCATGCAGATGATTAACAAGATTCCCTCTGACCAGGTTCTAAAGCAATTCTAATTGGAAAGACATGTAAACAAATTTCCTGGTCTAATAATTCCAACCAAAGCAGCTTTAGTTTGGCAGAAGGAACCAGTTCAAACTATAGTGCATGAGGGAACTCACAGACGAATTTCAATTCACGAAAAAATTTCAATTTTGAAGGATTTCTTAGAAAATAATTTGGTCATTCTACGCTACCTGTCTTTTCAATACGATTTTCTTTAATCATCAGTTTCCTCCCACTCGCTCTCTCCCAGAACGCCCCTAACCCATCTAACTTTTCCATAAGGATCTTATACTTGCCACTGGCAGGAGCACTTCTGAAATGTTCTTGTTGTAGCATCCAGTTGACAGCCTCTCTTTGGTAGGGTCTCAACACAGGAGTCAATGCAGGATGCTGGACATCCACTTGGGCAGGTTGTGTTTCTTGCTGATGTGTTCGCTTTACAAACTGATAGAGTTCATCAATGTCTTGTCCCTCTGGCTCACCCTCTGAATCTTCCTCATCCTCTTCCAACACATCTGCATATCCAAAATCAAACGTACTCACTCAATTGATCCACATTTCATAAGCAAATAATTTTTGCTTTATAACCATACCATGTACTCTCCCAACTCTGGCTCTTGCTCAGTGTGTTTTGAGCCTGGAATGCCCTATCCTTAATTCTTCACCAACGCATGCATCTTTTATAAGGTAGTTAAACTACTACTTTGCCTAAGACATTTTCTGTTGTTTTTCCTGGTTAGAATTAACATTGTTCTCTGTATCCATGCACTCCTTTCCTACTCTGGTGACAGTATATTGTCTAGTGACAATATACTGTAATCTGTCTGCTGTTACAATCGTTTATGTGTATTTGTCCCTTCCCCTATTAGCTCAGATCTCTTCAGATGCCGGCTACTGACTTACATGTTGACTCATATACATCTTGAATAATTATTATAAGCTAAGTAAGTAAAGAACAAATTACATTAGTGAGGGGCTTTCAAATAAGTCTAATTTTGTTACACAGTGATTTTATGGAAGTTGTTTAATTTTTATTATAGTTTTACTAGCTGAGTTTCTGTTGTCATGCATATGAGTTAGGGGGAGAAAACTCATAACTCCTAAGTAACGGCAATTTTAAAGTTACTTTAAAAATTACCTGGAATAATAAAATTGTATAACTTTTCCATCACTTTCTTCATGAGCTGATTGAATTTTTTCATTCTTGAATTTGCATCACTCATAAAGTCTACTTTAGCTAGGCCAGCTTCCAAAAGGTATATTCCAACCTACAAAGAAGTAATCAACGTAAAACTACTTTTAACTGGAATAGACCACTCTTTATGAAGACGGAAGAAGAAAGTTTTAGCATCAGCTTTTTTTCTTTTAAATATAGAATGCTTTATGAATCTGCATGGCATCCCTGTGCAGAGGCCGTACTAATCTTCTCTGTATTGTTCCAATTTGAGTATATGTGTTGCCAAAGTGAGCACATATATCACCACTTAAAAAGTATTGACATTTTCCCCAAAAAAGTACTAAATGATGCTGTGGTTGTGAGCCAGAGAGTAGACTCCAGTCTTAGTGACCCTACAGAACAGAGTAGAACCGCTCCACAGGGCTTCCTAGGCTGTAATCCACATGGGAGCATATCAGCAGGTCTTTCTTCTGAGGAGCCCTAGTGAGTTAGAACCACCAACCTTTCAGTTCGCAGCTAAGGGTTTATCCACCACGCCACCAGGGCTCATTACACTAAATGATATCCAACAAATCTCCCTCACAAATTTTCACTCTCAGTAACAAATCCATTCTACAAATGCAAATGCATACTATGTGTAAATGCACCATTTAAGTTGCTGGAAAAAATTACTTCCCTAACTGGAACCAAAACTGAGAATATGTAATAAGAACACCTAATTCTACCCATGGGAGCTCTGGCAGCATAGTGGCTAAGGCACTTGACTGCTAACCAGAAGGCTGGTGGTTCAAACCCACCAGCCACTCCTTGGAAGGAAGATGGGGGCAATCTACTTCCGTAGTGATACTGCCTTGGAAACCCAAGGAGGGGTCGCTATGAGTCATGTCCGACTCGATGGCACATAACGTAACATAACAACAACAACAACAATTCTACCTATGAGGTCAATGATTACCAAATGTGATGAACATTAGGATCATCAGTGAAGTTTGGTAAAAATGCAGATTCCACTAGAAGACTCTGACGCACACTGACTCTTAAACAGTTAGGTTTGAGAATCCTTATCACTAGCACTAAAATGTAGAAGGAAACAAATTTATAACTATATGCAGGCATAAGATTGTAAGATTCTGAAACTTGAATCCAGTGAAGAAATGTAGCAGGAATTCTTGCAGTCAAGAGGCTCAAATTTGAATACTGGCACTGAGTAGTAGGGAGCTAAATAAACACAAAATTAACTGATTTATTTTGACCCAAATGATCTCATTTGCAGCATGGAGAGAAGGCAATAGATACAGTCCATATGCTACAAATTAAAAGTTCCTAACGTAGACAATAGGAGCTCTGGTAGCATAGTGGCTAAAGCACTTGACTGCTAACCAGAAGGCTGGCGGTTCAAACCCACCAGCCACTCCTCGGAAGGAAGGTTGGGCAATCCTACTTCCGTAGTGATACTGCCTCGGAAACCCAAGGAGGGGTCGCTATGAGTCGGGGCTGACTCGACGGCACATAACAACAACAACAACAACAATGTAGACAATAAATGTTATTAGTTCCCTTCATTCCCGGACTACTCTGGGAAGTAGTTTATCACTGAGCTGCTCATGTTCTTTCACTAAAGAATGAGACTCCAACCAGTATCATACAGGAATGAGTGGCAGAGATTTTGTCATTTCATTATTTACTTGTATCCTGCTTTGTCTTTACCTGAGAGGAGATGGCTTAATAGAGTGGCAATAAATGTTGAAATATTTATAAACTTGGGGTCAGGGAAAACAAATTAGAATAGGTCAAGACCTGGTCTGTGAAGGGGGCAGAGAAAACACAGATTTGTAGGCTGTGAGTTCATATACACTTGCAATCATTAAGCCACAATTTTCACACTCAAATTCAGTAAAGAGATGCAATGCTTGGCTATATACTTTCATTGTCCAGGGAAAAATTAATTATAATCTAAGATTTTTCCTTTCCTCTGTCAATTCTGAGACTATAAAAAGGGCTAATGATACAACTGCTTATTAATATAAAATATGTAAAAGAGATGGTTTTCAGTTGAATAAAGGTGAATGTAACATTTTAGAATTTCTTTCCATGTTTTAGCATGAAGGTATATTAACCTGCTTCATACTTATGAAGTACATATACTTACATTGTCTCCCCTGATCCTCAACAGAATTCTATGAGGTAAGAAGAACAGGTATTATTTACACTTCATACAGAAAGCAGCTAATTTGAGCCTTTAAATACTGTATGAGGCTGTTGGAATAAAAGAACTCACAGTCTAGTGGGAAAGAAATATCCAAAACGTAAGTACATGACAAGTGGCCAATGTAAAAACCAACATGTGCACCTTGTATTATTGGGGAGGGGTACATAACCCATCTTATGGGGTTTAAGAAAAGATCTCCTGTGGTGAAGTGAACTGTGACCTCAATATTAAAAAATAACCAGAAGCTACTCAGGCAAAAGAGAAGGGGCAACCAACGCAGAGAAGACTGTGAGAACAAAAGCAAAGAAGTGGGGAAAAAAAACCAAAAACAAAACAGCAGGGTATGTGCAGGACACAAACCAACTTGGAATTTCTCAAACAAAATATCATCTAGAGTGATGAAGGATGAGCTGGGGAGGGAGACAAGGACCTATCAAAGGAGCAACTTATATGTTAGACGAGAAAGATTATGCTTAATTCTGTAGGCAATAAAGAACAAAATTCCATTTGCATTCTTATTGCAATTTCTAGAAGCAAACTGGATGAAGGATCTGACAGGGCAAGACTGGAAACAGGAGAGGGTGAAACGCCTGGGACAGTGAGAACAAGAGCTGTGGCGGCGCCGGAGCAAGTCAAGGAGAGCCGAGAGGAAAAGGAGGAAGAAAAGGGACCAGGAAGATCTGTACGAAAAAGCACAGCCTGGAAATAATCAGCTGTAATCTGCACAGTTCTTAAAAACCCAAAATAAAGTTTCTGAAATTTAGTAATGAAGGGTGTATTGCTGATTTTTTCAGAACCTCTTTTAAAATAAACTTCAAAATGGGCTGCCAAAGTAGAAGAACCTTAAAAGACGCTATAAAAATTGAGTACCTTGATGGCATGACTTCCTTCTGGTCTTTGGTAAAGTTTTATTCTTCTCTTCTTCTGCAGCCAGCCCAAATCTTCTAGCAGGTCCCGACTAAAGGATGATGCCACCTGTACACCCTGGTCCCCAGCACTGATCGCTTCAGTGAGCCTTTTCTCCTCTTTCTGCACATCTCCACATTCTGAATGAACATACACTAGTAACTGACTGCTTGATTCCAAGCTCATTAACGTAAAACTCCTTTCAGAAAAATTTTCAGTTAAGCTCTGTTCAGGAAGAAGCTGAAGAGTTAATTCTCCCAGAAACGCTTTCCAAGAATTATCTAGGTGATAGGGAGCGATCACAATATTCAACTTTATAAACAAAGGGGAGGAAATACCCACAGTCTCTTCTGTATCAATTGAATTTGAGATGGTCTCTGACTCTGTACACCTCTTCTTATCTCTGTGAGCCACCTCCTCCTTCAGCCTATCGTCCAGGACGAGGCAATGAGCTGAAGAGGAGTCTGAACGTGGGCAGGCCTGCTCGTCCTCACTTAGGGTGAGAGGTTCATGCCTCCTGTCCTCATGCATGTTCCATCGAAGCTCCTGCCGCTTTTCTTCATCCATCCTCACTGGAGGAGCACGCTTCCGTCGGCTGCTCATTTTCAAGTTTTCTTGGTTGGTAAATTTGAACTCTGGAAGACAAATGTAATAGGTATTCCAAGAGAAGATTTTAGTATTAAAGAATTCACAGGTGAGAAATGCAGCATAACTCATAGTCTATGCACTCAACATGAAATCTTCAGACCCGTCACTGGTGCATCGATTCCGTGTCAGAGTAAAACTGGAGGGGTAAATAAAGCAATGAATAATTTTTTAAATAAGTCAAATACAGCTAAGGAACATGCGGACCATAATCTCATGCATCAGATTAATTCTAATCATCTTATTAGTCCTTAACGGATAAATTTAGTAAAGAAACTTAATGAATATAATAAACCAAAACCAAAAAAGCCAAGCTCACTGCCGTTAAGTCAATTCGACTCATAACAACCCTTCCTTGGGTTTCCGAGGTGGTATCTCTATGGAAGCAGATTGCCCAACCTATTTTCCAATGAGTGGTTGGTGGGCTTGAACCTCCAGCCTTCTGGTTAGCAGTAAAAAGCCTTAGGCATTACACAACCGAAGCTCCCATAATAATGAAGTCCAAAAATATTTAATGAGCAGCATAATCAAACAAAAAACTCAAACTCACTGTCATCGAGTCGATTTGCCTCATAGCAACCCCTCCTTGGGTTTCCATGCAGTATCTTTATGGAAGCAGATTGCCCAATCCGCTTTCTCAGGAGTGGCTGGTGGGTTTGAACCACCAGCCCTGTGGTTAGCAGTCAAATGCCTTAGGCACTACACCACCAGACCTGGAGATGCCTATTTGAAGTGTTTCAGTAACATTTAAACTCGTATTATCACTACAGAATTTCATTTTTGTTTTATGATCCCAAAAGGTCAATGAAACTTCACTTGACCTTTATATAACTTAAAGCCCCCAGAAAAAAATCTTCTTTCAAAAGAGGAAAATTAAAATGCACAAATGTATTTCTTCTTATGGATTAGCAGATAAGAACAGTAGCAGGGCAGGGAAAAAGGTGGTAATGGTAACAGGGAAAATGAGGCAGAGTAAGAATAAAAGAAGAGAAAGAAAAACTAAGGGAAAAAAGAAAAGCTAGCATTGGTCATCTCAAAGACAAAATTAGGCTGAAAGCAGTCCATTTGATGCTTTACTTTCCCCCAAAACAACAGTCCATTCCTACCTGAAACTCATGACAACTCAGAGTCTGTGTCATAGAAAAGTGGTAACGATAACTGGTACCTATGACAACCTTTACAACTGTGTAGATGAAAAAAACTGATGCAGAAACATTTAAAATTTGGTTTCAAGTGCAGTTTAATAAATGTTCTTAATAATTCCATTTATGAATAAAAGTCAACCAGATATTTACTGAGTCCCCACTAAGTATTCAGGACTATGCTGTATTTTAGGGGAGGACACAAAAGAAGTAGAAATCTGATCAGATCTCTAATTCAGCATGGCATTTTGGCTTCTTAGATCAGGCAATCTACCTCCGTAGTGATACTGCCTCAGAAAATCAAGGAGGGGTCGCTATGAGTTGGATCCAGCTCGACAGCAGTGAGTTTGGTTTGGTTTTTAAGATGAACCGAGCACAGAGACCAATCTACAACTCTACCTCCACTGACTATCCACCCCTAACTACCCGCTCTAAATGTAGGGAAGAATGAGAAATAGGTCTTACTTTTATTATTATTATTATTATTATTTATTGTGCTTTGGGTGCAAGTTTATAAAGCAAACTTGTTTTACATTCAACAATTCATGCACATCTGATTTCATAGCCCATTACCGTCCCCAACCATACACACACACACCATATTTTATCTATTCATTTATGCTGTTCCTACTTTTAGATATTATGAATAATGTTGCTATGAACAGCTGTGTACAAGTTTTTATGTGAACATGCTTTCCATTGTCTTGGATACATACTGAGGAGCTCTGGTGGCATAGTAGATAAGGCATTTGGTTGCTAATCAGGTCAGTGGTTCAAACCCACCAGCCACTCTGTGGAAGTAAGATGATCTACTTCCGTAAAAATTTATAGCCTTGGAAACCCAATGGGGGTTGCTATGAGTCAGAATCGATTCAATGGCAGTGAGTTCTTTTTGTCTTTTTTGTTTGTTTGGGTACATACTTAGGAGTCCAATTGCTGGGTCACTAATGAGGAATCACGAAAGATTTTTCCACAATGCCACATCATTTTACATTCTTATCAGAAATGCGTAAGAGTTTCAATTTCTCCACATCCTCTTAGCACTTGTTATTATCCATCATTATTGTTAATATCAGTAGTAGTAACAGTGGTAGTATACCCATCCTTTGATCATGTCGTCAAAAGGGACGATATCCCTGAGAAGGATATCATACTTGGTAAAGTAAAGCATCAGCAAAGAGGAAGATGACCGTCAACGAGATGGACTGAGACAGTGGCTGCAACGATGGGCTCACGCACACAGTATTGTGAGTCCAGGACCGGGCAGTGTCACGTTCTATTGTACATAGGGTCCTGATGAAGTCATCTACTTGAAAGCACCCAAAACAACAGTACAGCCATCCTAGTGGATGTAAAGTAATACCTCGCTGTACTTTTGATTTGCATTTCCCTAAGGATTAATGAAAAACCAAAAAACCCAAACTCACTGCCATCGAGTTGGATTCGACTCATAGCAACCCCTCTTTGGTTTCCAAAGCTGTACCTATACGGAACTAGATTGCCCAATCTTCCTTCTGAGGAGTGGCTGGTAGGTTTGAACCGCCAGCCTTCTGGTTAGCAGTCAAATGCCTTACGCACTATGCCACCATATATATTAATGTGCTAATTGAAAGTAAATGGCATAGTGGGTAAGGCATCTGGGTATTAACCAGGTCAATGGTTCAAACCCACCAGCTGCTCTGTGGGAAGAAGATGAGTCCATCTACTTCTGTAAAGATTTACAGCCTTGGAAATCCAATGGGGGTCGTTATGAGTTGGAATTGACTCTATGACAGTGAGGTTTTTTTTTTAATACTTCATTATTGTTTTTGTTTTAAATAGTCAATTAAACAAAAAATCAAATCCACTGCTATTGAGTCGATTACAACTCATAGTGCCCTCACTGGGTTTCCAAGGCTGTAAATCTTTACAAAGTAGATTGTAAGTTGAGGAGTGGTTAGTGGGTTTGAATCACCAACCTTCAGGTTAGCAGTCAAATGCCTTAGGCACTGTGCTACCAGAGTTCCTGTAATGACGTATAGTAGGATTTATAACATGTAGAAGTAAAATGTAGGCAAATAATAGCATAAAGTGAAGAAAAAAAAAAAACAGAAATTAAAGATGATCTCAATTATCAAGTGATACCATGCTGCTCATGGGCTGGAAGGCTTAGTATGTTAAGATGTCAATTCCTTGGCATTGTTTTCTAGAGTGAAACCTAAAATTACTCAAAATCCCAACCTTTTGGGGGGTGGGGATGGTGAGGTACAGTGGGGTTTGAAACTGGTAAGCTGATCCTATAATTTATATTGAAATGGCCAGAATCTAGAAGAGTCAAAGTATTTTGGAAAAAGAACAAAGTTGTAAAATTTACACTAGTCCAAGACTCATGTCTACAGTGCTCCCAGTGTGGTTCTGGGATAAAGACAGATGAATGGAACAGACCAACGAGGTACCCTGGTGGGGTAGTGACTTAGATGCTAACCAAAAGGTTGGTGGTTTGAACCCACCAGCCACTCCACAGAAGAAAGATGAGGCAGTCTGCTTCTGTAAAGATTCATAGGCTTGGAAACACAATGGGGGTTGTGATGAGTTAGAATGTGAATCAATGGCAGTGAGTTTGATGTATTTTTTTTTAATAGACTCACACATATATGATTAATGATTCTGGACACAGATCAAAAGCAATCAATGGGAAAATAATAATATGCCTTTCAATAAGTGGATATCCATATGAAAAAAATTAATCTTGACCTTTCTGCACACCATATATAACCCAAAATGGATCATCGACTAAAATATAAGATAAAACTTTGGGAGCTCTGGTGCCATAGTGCCTAAAGCATCTGACTACTAACCAGAAGGCTGGCACCTCAAATCTACCTGCCACTCCTTGGAAGGAAGGTTGGGCAATCTACTTCTGTAGAGATATCGTCTCAGAAACCCAAGGAAGGGTCACTATGAGTCAAATCGACTTGACAGCAGGAAGTTCAGGGAGAAAATCTAATTGACCTTATAGCAAAGAGATTTTAAATAGGATACAAAACACAAAGGCTATAAACACAAATGTCACAGCAGTTTTATTAATAAAAGCTCTGAACTGGAAGCAATCCAAATATCCATCAACTGGTGAATGGTTGATCAAACTGTGGCATAGTCACACACTGGAATAGTTACTCCTTGATAAAAAGAAACAAACTACTGATACTTACCACATGGATGAAATTCTAAACCAGTATGTTAAAGGAAAAAAGCTAGATGTGAAAGACTACATATTCCATTCACATAGAAGTCTAGAAAAGGCAAAACCTAGTGATAGAAAACAGACTAGTGGTCACACAGGGCCAGGAAGTAAGGAGTGGGGATCAGCAACAAAGGAGCAGGAGGGAAAACGTGGAGTACGAAAACGCTTTGGATCGTGTTGATCCTCATACAACTGTAAACATTTGTTAAAAATCAAATTGTACATTTAAAATTGTATTTTATTATATACAAATAATACTTTAATAAGGCTACTTAAGAAGCAAAAAAAAAAAATAAAAAAGGAAAACAGATGCAAAACCAAACTCACTGTCATCCAGTTGATTTCGACTCATAGCCACCCCCATGGGGTTTCTGAGGCAGTAAATCTTTAAGGAAGCAGATTGCCCAGTCTTCCTTCCACGAAGTGGCTGGTGTGTTTGAACGGCCAACCTTCTGGTTAGCAGTCAAATGCCTTAGGCACTACAACACCAGAGCATCTTAGCATAGATGCAGGAAGAATTTAAAACTGTAAGACCACATTAAGAACAGCTTTATTTCAATAAACTTAAAAATCTAGAAAAAATGGCCCAAGAAATAGAAAACCTGATTACACCAAAAAC